ACATTCTGTGATTCTGTGATTTGTTATGGGAACTACATGCAATCGTTGTGCAACCACACACAGACAGTTCCAGGCACGACCACCTTACCTCACACCACAGTTCACTTTCGGTGTCAAAGGTGTAATCCTGTATCGATGGGTGGCTGTCCAGAACAGCATTTACTCGCAACTCTGCTGACCGAAGTAATCGATCTTTCTCTTTTTTAGTTTGAGACATAAAGGAAAGATGTTGAGACTCGTCACCATCTGCTCCATTCTGATCTTCTTCAGCAATGGGAGCCTTTTCTTCATTTTCCGATTCAGCCTCTTCACCTTCTAGATTCTCATCAACGTTTTCGTCCCCATTTTCTTCTTCACTTTCATAATCAACCTACAGAGAAAATACATTGTCCTTATCTGAGCCAGAATATGTACAGAAACAAAGCCCACAAGGAATCATAGAATGGTTAGGATTGGAAGGGACCTTCAAGATCATCTAGTTCCAACCCCCCTGCCATCAGCAGGGACACCTTCCACTAGATCAGGTTGCTCAAAGCTTCATCCAGCCTGGCCTTCAACACTTCCAGGGAGGGGGCATCCACAACTTCCTTGGGCAACTTGTTCCAGTGTCTGACCACCCTCACAGTGAAGAACTTCTTCCTAATATCTAATCTAAACCTCCCCTCTTTCAGTTTAAACCCATTTCCCCTTGTTTTGTCATTAGTTGCCCTTATGAAAAGTCCCTCCCCAGCTTTCCTGTAGCCCCTTCAGGTACTGGGAGGCCGCTATAAGATCGCCCTGGAGCCTTCTCTTCTCCAGGCTGAACAGCCCCAACTCTTTTATTAATGAATTTTCTTGACTGATGAGTTGCAAATATCTTCCCTATGACACAATGAAAATGCAATTCTGTTACAAAGAAAATAACACAACAGATTCAATTCAGTCTCTATTGTTTCTTTATAATCTTGCCATTATTCCTCAATACAGTCAGGGATGTTACAGATCATTGTGACTGTAGCAGTTTTTCTCCCCAAAAAGTCTCTGTGCATAATCCAACTCTGATTAAGGGATTCCCTCAGGATTTTAAATTACTCTGCCCTCATGCTGAAATTACAGAAACCCGTCTTTTAAGCAGTAATTGTGAGGCAGTGAACATGGAAATACATGCAGAGCCAGGGAGAGTATTTATTAAGAACCACAGTTAAATTTTAAAAACAACTAATGGCATGAAATTAGCAAGAGGTAAAGTTAAAGTGAACTACAGCACAGACAACCTGACTGCCAGATACACCTACCCAACAGCTGAAGAACATGGCTTCAAAAAAGCCCAGAGGATCTCTTCCATCTCTAACTTGCATGGTCCTGTATTACTCTTAAAAGACAGCAGTGACCAGGCTTAACTATGATGATCATGGTCATCACAAGTCTCAGTTCATATCTGCTGTAGATTTTCTCCCCATCCAAATCAAAACAGATCAGCATAGAGACTTTCATATCCTCTTTGTTTTATTTTTTTTTTTAAATAAATTTGTTTCAATGGCAGTTTTCCTTCCCAAAGCAGAGGAAATTGGGAATTAAAGTGCACCTATAACATCACTACCTCTTCTTCCTGGTTCTTCCTCCGTTTTGCTTCTGTAGCATCGCCATCCCCTTCATCAGCCTCTGCATCAACAATATTATCTTCTTCCTCTGCTGGAGCTTCCTCATTCTGTGTCTAGAAATCCATGACAGATCAGATAATCAAGCTGTCTGCTAGGAAGCATCAACTGCATCAAAATGCTTTAGCCAAACATTTGGAATTTAATAATCCCCTGTTCAATGTTCTACCTTTAAGGACAAACTAATTTGCATAAGCTCACTACTATAAAGAAATAATAAACTTACACTCATGATTAATTTAACATTAAACAAGAAGAACATCTACAAGATAGTCAAGCTATCAGCCTGCTTATATGACAGTCCTTCATGGGAGAGGAGTGGCAGAAGGAACACATGAAAGCCTTTCAATGAAAAAAGGGATCTTCCCCAAAGTATTGACAATCACTGCTACAACAAACAGGCATTTTCAAAGCATAGTCTGAAGTAAGTTAGGATTTCATACACAATAACTTTAATTTCTTTGTTAATTCTGTGAGATTGCAAAGACAGTTTATGCAAAAAGAAAATATTTAACAAGTAATTTAGTATTCACACATTTAGTGTTCACATTGAAACACGCTACGCTTTTCCAAATTCTGGTTCTCAAAAACAGGTAAAGGAAGTGAGGTGGTTTTCAGGTAAGGCTTTTCTGTACCTTGTCTTGGTCACCATCTAAATCTTTCCGAGTTGCCTTCCGGGTGCTGACTTCAGTAAAAGATGCCATCTTTGCACTCTTCTTTTTAATTGCTTCCAGAAAAATTTTAAAGAACCTGAAAGAAGCAGCAACCCAGAATGTCAAAGCTCAGCAGTACCACAGTCAATTTCAAGCTGTCAGAAAATTAACTTATTTTGTTTAAGAAGCCAGTCGACTCATGACAGGACGTATTCTCTGGTGGATGCAAAAGTACTTCTAGGATAAGGCAAATATTTTTTATTCTCGTCCCTTTCCCATTCTTTTAGGCATCAAAAGGTTGGCACCACCTCTCTTACAATCACTGATGTAGCCACGTATCCAAAGCTTAAAATCATAAGCTTATCTGGACGTAAAATCTGCACCTTTAGAAGAGATGTTTACTCTTAGGAAAACTCTTAGTTTTACTCTTTTAAAGAGTCCTTTACTACTGGACTTTTTTCTATTTTAAACCAATGAGCACAGACAAAATTATTAAATAAAGTAACCCAGCTTGAACTCAAGTGATCTGAGGGAGGAAGATATCAATGAAGCCTTTTTGCAAAACAAAAATAGCTTTCAATAGACTCTCATCATTAAATGTTCTACTTTTAACTACACAAATTTGGAGAGACATGGGGAAGGAAGCAGGGGAAAAAAGAAAGTGGAGGGGGAGCCACTCTTTTCCAATTTATTTATTTATAAAAAAATATTTTAAAAAATCAAGGTTTAGTTCTGTTAAATGAGAGCACCAAGGGATACCTAAAGTATTCAAATATTTTTTGCTGGTAATAAATACTTAAGCATTCAAAGATAAGGAACGAGGTGTTGTTTACACAGCTCTTCTCAGTATATTGGAAACATGGGAAACATCCTCCTTGATACAATTCTGCACTGTCACCAGGCCACAGATTAACAGTTTTATTCAAGATATAAAAAGCAACTGCATAGATGCTTCTGCAAGCACATCTGCCGGAAGCTGTTGCTCTGAAAGCCACAGCAGCAGTAATAAACAACATGCAGTGACCCTTAGAGCCCATGGAAAGGCAAAAGCAGAGCAAATATTAAAGTATCTGAGAGCAAACCCACCTTGTTTCCATGAAGTGCAAGATCTGCCTGGGCTTCACACACTTCTCCTCTCGGTAATACTCGTGGGGTAAGAAATGGAATTTGATTTTGTAGAGGTGATGTTTGTTCTGCTTGCACTTCAGATGCAAGGATTCCTCTATCTCAACTTTCTGCAAGACCTACAAAAGCCCCAAGTAGGACCATTACTCCTTTGATGAAGACACTTCAATTACTTCCTGCAACTCCAATGCTTTCTATGTGAGACCAGAATGACACAAGACTAACTGGTAAACTCTTCTGGAGGCTCTGTGGCAGCTCCTGGGCAAAAGGACTCTACCCTATTGCACTCTTTTTAGCTTAAACTCCTCCCAGTGATTAATTTAGACAATAAGGTGAGAGGCCTCAGCTCACACCTGACTCCTTCACAGAAGGCCACACTTCTTAGTGGGCCAACAGCTTCATTTTACTGACCCATGCTCATTGAGGAAGACGTATTTCAGGACAGAACTGAGTCTTAACTCTATCCTTGCTGCTTTCAACTTCAAAGAGTAAGGTAGAAGAGGGTAGGGCATGCAGGGGAGCACAGGAAAGACTGCACTCCTAGGAAGAGAGGGAGCACAGAATACATCAGACTCATCAGATTTCAATATATTCAGCCTCCAAGGCGCCACACATTTTGCTTCTATTGAGCACAGTTGCTTGAAGGAGTTTAGGAAGCCAGGAGGGAACAAACAAAAATGTCTCTACTGTGCCAGTCACAGCCAGATTAGCTTTGTCTCTTAAAGACAAAACAAAACCCCTCCATTTCTAGAGACTGACAAAAAGGAGATGAGAAAAAAGCTATGGAAGCAAACATAAATCCTCCTTGCCTTTACCTTACTGCTAAGTATGAACTATTACCTTCCCCCTTTACATTCTACAGAGGGTTTGTAGCCTGTGACCTCTACAGGTTAAACTGAATTTAAGTCTCATACAGCCAATTCCTTTCAATGCCCCACTTCCTAGCCAATATTACAGCCTCAGTATGCAAGAGGTGAAAAGAAAGGACCCTCTCATGTTGCACCCACAGATAAGCCTTCAGAAGTGGAAACTGCTACAAACTGATGAGCTCATATAGGAAAGTTTTGCTTTGCAGACTCTGAAGGATACACTGAATAGGAGACTCACCTCAGCTAAGCACACTCTTGTGAGCTGTTTCTTAAGCTGTTTCACCTTCTTGAGAGCTTTCTTGGTATTGAACACAGGAACACTCATCATTGGTGTTTTAATATTTGCACTGGCCACCATCAGTATTTCCCGCAACCTTTAAATAAAGAATGATCTTTCAAGTTAAACTATAAAAGCAAATAAATACCTAGTTCATTTAATTAGCAGCAGACAGCAACTGCCAGTTCTACCAAAGCCATATGCATCAAGAGCTGTGGTTACCTTTTCACTTTCCTGGCTCCTCATCAGGCACAGCACAACAGTAGCTCTACTGCCTCAATTAGATTATCACCTTGATTACAGGAAGAGACTAGAGATGATATTCAGTTGTTCCAAGAACAGAAGAACTAACAAAGCCTGTTTCCTACAGATGCATAATGTATGCTCCACACTTTCTCTCTCTCTGAAGTAACACAGCCATCTCCAACCCGAGGCATCACACCCCTGCAGGAGGGCAGGGTCAGCACCCGTGTTATTCAGAAGAAGCTGATGATGGGCTGGTAAACACACGTGTGCTGATAAAGTCACTGTCACCATACAGAAGAGTCAGGGGAAACCTGGCTGCTCTAAAACAGGTCTCTCTCCACACAGGTGATAATCAGAATCACAGAATTGCCTCAACTGGAAAAGACCTTTAAGATCATCGAGTCCAATCATTAACCCAACACTGACACGTCCCTGACTAACCCATGTCCCTCAGCACTGTGTCTACACGACTCTTCAATCCCTCCAGGGATGGGGACTCCACCACTGCCCTGGGCAACCCCTTCCAGTGCCTGACAACCCTTGCAGCAAAGAAATTCTTCCTCACATCCAATCTCAACTGCCCTTGGTGCAACTTGAGGCCATTTCCTCTTGTCCTCCCACTTGTTCCTTGGTTGAACAGACCCACCCCCACCTCTCTCCACCCTCCTCCAAGGGACTTGGACAGAGCCACGAGGTCTCCCCTCAGCCTCCTTTTCTCCAGGCTCAACAACCCCAGTTCCCTCAGCCATGAACTCATCACACTTGTGCTCCAGCCCCTTCCCCAGCTCTGTTGCCCTTCTCTGGACACGCTCCAGCACCTCCATGTCCTTCTTGGAGTGAGGGGCCCAACACTGAACCCAGCACTTGATGTGCGGCCTCACCAGTGCAGAGTACAGGGGTAAGAGAACTTCCCTAGTCCTACTGGCCACACTATTCTTGATACAGGCCAGGATGCCACTGGCCTTCTTGGCCACCTGGTCAAATAATGCTACTAAATAATAATACTAAACACACCAGATTTCATAGTTGCAGTGAAAGAACTGGGGGGAAGAAGAGGTTGACAGAGGGCAAATCCACAAAGCACCACTTCTTTAGGCTTATACTGTACTGAATAAAATAGAGAAGCAAATAAGCCATTTGCTATACATCAGTTAAGAGTAAGGGGCCTTCACAGATATTTTGTATGTGGAAAATGAACCGAAACAATTGTAAAATTGTAAAATATTAAAACAGTTCTGAACAGGCACAAATTACAATTAAACTGAAGGATCATTTGCCCTCAAGATAACACGTATACCTGCCAGTGAGATTAAGCACTACTGTGCCAAAACCAGCAAAGGACTCATTGAGAACAGTTTTCTCACCTTGGAATACCCAATGTGACATTCATTTCACCTCTGCCAGCAAAGTGGAAGGTGTTCAGGGTCATCTGTGTGGAAGGTTCCCCAATACTCTGAGCTGCAAGAAGACCCACAGCTTCTCCTGGGTCACAAAGTGATCGCTGCCACTTTAAGTACAACAAATCCTTTAATCTGAACACAGGAAATAAAAGGTTTAAATCAATGTACTCAAAGAACTCAGAAGGGACAGCAACATTGCTCAGTTCAAAAGAGTTACCTCTTTCAGCCAATTTCTCCTGGTAGCTTATGGATAAATACACTCCAGAAACTGTAAAATTGTCTATCCCAATCTGATCTGACAAACACAGCCCATTAACACAGAACTGGGGCCTTGGCCAAACCATATTTTAGTCCTGCTACTAACTCCCAGAACGTCAAAAGACAGTCCATGTACTCCCACTTGCTCATGTCAACTGCCTCACTAACTCCAAGGTGTGGCAAGACCATATTTGTTTTTAACTCTTACTGTAAAGTATTATTTTATATGCAGGACAACAGCAATACACTGCTGTTATTCCATCAAGACTTTGCCAAAGCCCTTAGCAGCATGGAAAATTCAGGTTTAGAAGAAACAGATAGCCAGGGCCTCCCCAGAGAACATTGTTTTCAGGAACTGTTCTGAAATCCACTACTTTGTTTCACAAAGGTCACAAAAAAAAAAAAAAAGAAAGAGTTGATAAAGACTTTTCATTTTTAGCAATAAAGACTTTTCATTTTTAGCAATCTCAGTCCAAAAATAGATTATTTTTTTTTAGGCTCAGTGCAAAAGAAGACAGAGAAGTTACTAACCTGTCAGAAGAAAGTGTTTGGTGCATACAACTTTGTCTGTTCTCAGATTCCCATTTGTTGATATAATCTTCAACTCCATTTTCAAATGTTTCTGAAACAGATGCAAAATAAGTATCTGGACGCCAAACACCAAGGCTTGGGTCAGGGCACTTATTTGTCTTCTTCAGATACTTCCTTCGTTTCTTCTCATCTAGTTCATACCACATCTTCAATAACTGAAAATAAGAGGGGGGTTTTTAAGTAGGTTGGTTTATCCACAGTAAAACCAAAACTAAATAACACAGCAATCAAGCAACAGAGAAGGAGGAAAAGATTACCTGCATGAAACTGAAGGGTCTATGTAACACCCAGCAAACAACAACTCAGGTACAAATAGAGCATTCTCCACTTTCTGATACTTAAACTTTTGATCCCAAACGATTTCAAGGTTCTTTACAAGTTTGAAATCATGACACATCTATCCATAGTAACTACTGCAGAAACCAGTGAAACACTCTACAAATGATTTGAACTTGGGAGTGAACCCCCTCAACACTCTTAAATCTTTACTTCTAGCTGACTATGACCTCGCCTGTCTGAAGCTGGCATGACAAAGGAGCTTCTTAATACACAGAATCACAGAATGTTAGGGATTGGAAAGGACCTTGAAAGATCATTGAGTCCAATCCCCCTGCCAGAGCAGGAACGTAAATGAGATCACATAGAAAGGCATCCAGGCAGGTCCTGAATACCTACTTTAAAAAAAATCAATACAGAAAATGAGCTAAACCTATCTTTTACATGCCTTGCTGTTTTATGAAGGAGGAATTGGTTGTGACATGGAAGTCTGCTCACTGAGCTTTACAATATACTGAGACAGAGATAAACACGTATCTTTATCTGCCTATAAACTGAAGGAAAAAATGAACAAACAGTGAATGAATCCTCAGGCCAAATTGTTTTGAACGTTATCAAAAGTGCCAATAGCAACACAAATTCAGCATAGCTGGATAAATGAACCAGTGATAAGGCATAACATTTGTAAACAAGCTCACAGAGTTACAGAGCTCAACAACTTCAACTTGGGAGTTTTATGCTTATCTGTCCACATTCTACCAGGATAAACTTCTGAAAGCAAAGCTGTGAAGCAGCACCTGTTTGTATTTTGTGTCCATACATACAGTCTTCATTAGAAGCCATAACTTAATAGATTAATGCCCTGATGTACAAGAGGCTTAAGCAAGAGTACTTTTGTAAACACTAAGGAGGGCTGGCTCAGCCCTCTGATCTTTCTATTTAAACAGGCTCTCATCCAGCTAGCAGATATCTGTCCATCCAAAAGAGATCTACTCTGTGTACATGAAAAAAAAAAGAGCAACCCACCACCAAACAAACAAAAACAATCCCCCAAACAACCCACACACATGGGCTGTTTTCTAAAGTCAGTTTTACCTCAGAGTTTTTGGCCTCTGCCTTAGCACTAGGGCCCACAGACTTTAATAAATGAATCTCAGCTTCATCACTCACACAGCTGACAAATAATTCCTTCAAAAGGTAACTTGTATGAGTAGACTGTGAAACACTTTGGGACAAAAGAAGTCATTAAAAAAAAAAAAAATCACCAAATTCTGCAACTTTTTTAAAGGGCTCAGTCAATTCAGCTGCTTCTGTGTTACCTGTAAAGTAGCAGGATCTCTTCCATTTTTAATCTGTCCTCCTGGAATCTGTGCTTTTACACTTGCCATTTTCTTTTGGGAAAACATCAGAAAACCTCCCTCTCTTTGCACAGAGTTTTGGTGCCTGGCTTGCCACTTTTTGATGGCTTTGAAATGCTGGGTAGCTTGGTGAGACTCCATCCTTGATAAAGCTTCATCCAGATGGTTTGTCTTCTGGATTACCTATAAGAAAGTTTTCTGTATGATTATTCTTCTCCCTGTGCTCACTGTAGCAGAAAAGGCAAAGCAAACTGGAAAGGTCATCTGCTGCCACTCAAAATGTTCAGCTGCTGTAAAAAGATTTTAAAAATTGGTTTTCAACCCAACTGATACAGAACTCCTTATAACTTTATGTGACTACTACCATTCTTTAATAACCAGTGATGATACTGGCAATATGAAGTTAATCAAACTTGACAGACTGACCAGTAAAATCATCTGTGTTGAATCCAACTGCAGAGTTAGAATAGACGAGAATAAGGAGAGCACCTGGTGCTCTGTTGAAATTGAGCCTCCTTAAATCATACCACAGACTGAAGATTCACTTCCATATTTTGAATATAAATTAAAATGTAGGTTAGTCTGAGAGCAACTGAGAGAAACAACTATGCCACTGGATCCCTAACAGATATGCCAGATGTTAACCGTGCATTTCAGTCTTTCCCTTCACCCTATATAAATACTTAAGATTCAGGTGTTCTACCTCATAGTTTTCTGCAATGAAAGGAAACTGCTCAGGTTGTAAGAACTGAGTTTTAGGGATATCAAGCCCATCTTCTCCATACAGAAACTGCACCACACTGCCATCGCTATCGCGTACAGTCAGGTCATACTGAACTACCAGTCCTTCCAAATGTTTTATGATACATCTGTTCAAAAGAAAAAAGAAAAAAACCCCAAAGTGTTAAGAGGCTACAAAGCAACAAGGATGATATAACTCTAACATGAAAAATGCTGTTTTCATTAATATCTTAAGTGCACTTTAAGGGCTGATCAGCAATTCTGGAAGCCAAAAATCATAGAGACACAACACACAGGTGAAATGTTTAATGATATTGCAAAGCTTTCTGCATGTTGCTCCCCCCAGTTTCCTTGGACTGAAGTGACTTTAAATAGGAAATTACTTTCTATTTCTGCTGCCACTCTTTGATACAGTTGTCTGAAAGAAGGGGGCATCCGTCCTTTAGAAATCCTCACTACCCTCTGAAACAATTAAAAAGTTCTGTCTTCTATACTGGAGAAGTTGCTTGAATAAAGATGAGGGCCACACAATGTGGCCAAGAAAAACTAGAGTTGCCTGGAATCTGTACATCTTTACTTGTACCAGGAAAAAAGATTTCTCCTTGCTGCTGCTATGTGCCAGAGGTAAATCAGAGATTATAAAGTTCCACTTGATCTAGTTCTCTAGAAAGTCTGCCTTAGAACAAACATTCAACACTCAGACAGTAAATACTTTTCTACAAAGCAAGTACACTGAAGTTAATCTAATACAGGCACTTCTTCCAGTCTACAACCCTCTAGAAAAAATCTAAACAAACAAATAAACAAAAAAACCCCACAAAAAAACAACCAACCAACCCAAAGGACCTTTTAAAGGCTCAAATTTTAAAGGCTCCAGGGAGATCTTACAGCAGCCTTCCAATACCTGAAGGGGCTACAAGAAAGCTGGGGAAGGACTTTTCATAAGGGCAGTTAATGACAAAACAAGGGGAAATGGGTTTAAGCTGAAAGAGGCTAAGTTTAGATGAGATATTAGGAAGAAGTTCTTCACTGTGAGGGTGGACAGACACTGGAACAGGTTGCCCAGAGAAGCTGTGGCTGCTCCTCCCTGGAAGTGTTCAAGGCCAGGCTGGATGAGGCTTTGTGCAACCTGGTCTAGTGGAAGGTGTCCCTGCTGATGGCAGGGGGGTTGGAACTGGATGGGCTTTAAGGTCCCTTCAACCCAAACCGTTCTATGATTCTATGAAATTCTAAAACAAGCCTCTTACCTTTGTAGGTATCCAGAACGGCTGGTTTTGACAGCTGTGTCCACCAGACCTTCCCTGCCAGCCATGCAGTGAAAGAAGAATTCCTGAACACAAATACAATCTCATCAGCATGCTGCTGAGAAGTACACCAAGACTGGCAATTTATGCTTTTTTCCAAAAGCTACATACGAAAGTAGGGTGAACAAAGCTGATTCATCTATAACCACAGACACTGCATTAAAATAGCAAGATTTAAATAAACTTTGGTGTAAGCATAAGCAGTATTAAACTTACAGAAGGTCTGATCCCAGTGAGAAATCTGCCAGTCACAAATCCTCCTGAGCTAGGGGAAAAATCGTAAGGCTGGAAACATGGCAGCGATTTGCCAGATGCCATCAGTGGGGGTCTTCGACCTTCCAACTCAATCTGGCCCAGTAAACAAGAAATCTAAATGTGGACAGGAAAAATAGGAAACATCACTTTTCAATCCAACATTCTGCTCAAATAAATTCAACAATGTTTCTTGAAAAATATAGTAAAAAAATAAAATGCTCACTAGATGTTCTTCAACTAAATGTTGACATGTTCATTAAATGTTCTTGTTATTGATGGGCTGAAAAGGCATGTAGATCTCATCTGGTCTTTTTAAGTTATTCTAGCCCCTTGACTCATCCTGAACATTTCCATTCTCATTCTGTGTGTTTATTTTAATACAGAGAGATGTGAAACTAAAAATACCATAAATATTTTTTAGATCCCTGTATTACTCTCACCACCTCTCAGCAGTGTACTAACAGCAGAACAAAAAAACCCAAACCAAAACCCTTTCTCTCTTGTGCTTTAGTCATTCTCTCCTATCAGAGACAGAATTTTAGAAGGCCTTTTTATATAGTGTTTATTGCTTGGTATCTGTATTGCAGAAAGCAAAATGAAAAAGCATCCTTGCCAACTCTACCAAAATCTAAGTAAGATTTAGTTGTTCCTATTCTGTTGTGGAAAAAGGAAACAGAGGGGTCAATCTCCAAGAGAAGCCAGGAGAAGTTCTATTTCTCCTACAGCAGGATTGTGGGATCTGCAGCATTCC